TCCTGTACTCGAACCTTCTCACTATGAATTCTTGCTGCACTTGGATGCTTACTTTCAGTGGCTGGTGTACAAATACACCCAGGTCTCATTACACCACCCACTTTCCTAATCTATTGTCTTTCTTAATCTGTCAAATTTTGCTACCAAAGTGGATAATCTTGCCACACACTGCAACCTTTTTTACCTGGAAGAGGACCCCAGATGCATTTGTCAAGTATTAAAGCCTAGCCTGTGATGGTCCCCGCTTAGTGACTGCACAAATCCTTGGTAAGCTATGGTATCGATCTTGGCTAATGTCACTGCACCTTGCATGTATTAAATGAATTTTTGAGCATAGTGTGTTTTTGATGTAGTACAAAGTATATCATGGGTTAATTACCAGAGCTCCAGAGTTCCAAGATACTTTTCTGATTTGACAGCAAAAATCACGGAGCTGCTAAAGCAAAGAGAGGCTTGGAATTTTGATGAGATTTCCCAAAGGGAAATGGATTCGCTAGTAAAGCTGTTAACTGTATTTGAGGCGATGTGGTTTGTTAGTACATTCCAGAGCGGAGTTGGATATAATACAAGAATGGCTTCAAGTGATTGAGCACAGCAGGAGCCCTAGAAGGCTAGACAACATGTTCGCCTAATCCTCACACCTAAGGGGAAAGTAATGGTTAATTTTGATCGTGAGTTGATGAGCCAGTCCTTGATATAGAGGTAGGAAAGTGCTACAGGTCATATTTTTCAGCTCAAGCTGTTTGGAAAGCAAAACCTGTAGGAGCTTTCAGTGTTTGAAACATTTGGATTTTAGCAAAATCTCAGTGCCAGGTATAATACAGACCAAGAGCTTTTTGTAAGGTGGCCCCTCTTGGTAACTGACTCATCAATAAAACCATAAGCATACTGCCTTGCAAGAAAATTCTTGTTACAAAATTTGTTTGTGTAAATGATGATCAACCATGGATTTTAATTGGCAATAGTTTATAAGGTCAGTGCAATGGGTAATTTAACTTGGATAATCTACTAAACCGCGGATGATTTGCAAGAATTTTGGATAAATTCTAGGCACATTGAGAAAAAAACACATAAAAAATACTCAAAACAAAGTCAGAATTACAAACACTGCATCAGCTAATAATTGTCTAGGCAAATGTTCCAGAATACTGAGGGAGGAAATTGCTGGGACCTTACATGAAAAATCTTTGTATCCTCTTTATTCACAGGAGAGGTCACAGAGGACTGAAGAATAGCCAATACTGTTCCTTTGTTTAAGAGGGGCAACAAGGATAATCTAGGAAATTACAGGCTGATGAGCCTTACATTAGTGGTAGGGAAGTTATTGGATATGATTTTAGGAACAGGATTTATTCATATTTGGAAAAATATGGGCTTATTATAAGAAGCAGCAGGACTATGTGCAGGGGAGGCTGTGTCTCATAAATTTGATTGAGTTTTTTTTGAGGAAATGACAAAGGTGATTAATGAGGGCAGAGCAGTGGATTTTGTCTGCATGGACTTTAGCTAAGTCTTTGACAAGATCCCCCGTGACAAGCTGATACAGAAGGTGAAGTCACATTCTGGCAAAATGGATACAGAAATGGCTTGGTCATAGAAAACAGAGAGTAGCAATGGAAGCATGTTGTTCTGACTGGAGATCTGTAACCAGTTGTGTTCAGCATGTAGGTGGCCTGAGTTGTAAGTTTGCAGATGCCACATAGATTGGATGAGCTGTGGATAGTGAGGTGTATTGCCGGAGGATCAAGGTTGGAGACTTGGATGGAGAAATGACAGGTAGAATTTAATCCAGACAAATGTGAGGTGATGCGTTTTGGAAGGTGTAACACAGTTGGGAAATATACAGTTATTGGCAGAACCCTTAGAAGCATTAACATACAGAGGATTCTAGCATACCAGTCAACACTTCCCTGAAAGTGGCAACAGAAGTTGACAAGGTGGTCAAGAAGGCATATGGCATGCTTACCTTCATTGGTCAGGGCACAGAGTTTAAAAATTGGCAAGTCATGTTGCAGCTGTGTAAAACTTTATTTTGAATATTACTTACAGTTCTGGTTGCCACACTACCAGGAGCATGTGGAGACTTTGGAGAGAGCACAGAAACAGTTTACCAGGATGTTGCCTGGTTTGGAAAGTATTAACAATGAGAAGAGATTATACAAACTCAGTCGAGCTTTGGAGGCTGCAGGGCAACCTGATAGAGGTTTACAGAATTATGAGAGGCTTGGATAGATTGGATAATCAGAGTCATTTCTCCAGGGTAGAAATGTCAATTACTAGGGGATGTAGGTTTGAAGGTAAAAAGAGATGTGAGAAGTATTTCTCACGCAGAGGATGATAAGTGCTTGGAATGCACAGCCAGAGGAGGTGGTAGAAGCAGATACAATAGCAACATTTAAGAGACATATTGACAGAGACATGAATTGCAAGGAATAGTGGGATATGGACTGCATGGAAGCAAAAGGTTTTTAGTTTAGAAAAAGCATCATGTGTCAACTTAGGCTTAGTGGGCCTGTTCCTGTGTTGTACTTTTATTTGTTCCATGTCTTGCTAGCAGAATTTTGTCATACATAAACTAATTCCCATTTGTAAACCTCCTGCCCATTTTACTTTTGAGGGTCACCAGCATGCTGCCAACGCACTATCCACAATAAAAAATGTGATTTTATATTCAGGAAAGAATATGCTTTAAGATTTTACAAAATTAAGTAAAAATCAGTTGTACTTTAACTCCACTTAATTCAGCTTATACTTGTAGCACTTAAGTAAATGAACTGCTTTTACAATTCCAGTCAGATATTGGTATTGTGAAGCAATCAATTGATTATTTTGATTTTTTGTTGTACTGAACTACAGTGACCTTTCAGATGATAAAAATACAAATCCATTGATCCTTATTATCACTTTTTGAGACTGATTTTAATTGTATTAACTGGTCTTTAGTGTTCTGAAATCGGAGAGCTGGATTTACCTCCCTGTTTCTGCTCCCAAATTGCCTATCACTATTTTGTTTGGTACTTCCCAATAGTAATGTAGATGGCCTCCTGTATCAGGGACAGCCTTATTTATAAAATCATGGTCCTGTAATGCACATAAAAACCCTAATGCAATTTTTGAATTTTAATGAATAGAGCATGTGATTTGCATGTTTTGGTAACAGACAACCTAATCCGTAGTTCCATTATATTTTATGTTGCAGTAATATATCTTTAGAAATTACATGCACAGATAACATCCAAAGTGCCACATTTTTCATAGGAAGAGGAGTAAGACATACAGTCCCTCCAGCCTGTTCCACCATCCAATGAGATCACAGCTGATCTGTGGCCTAATTCCATATGCCTGCCTTATTCCTTACATTTTTGTTTTGCAAAAGTATTATCTATCTCAGATCTAAAATTAGTAACTGATCTAGCATCAACTGCCTTTTGTCGAAACCTCTACCACCCTTTGTATGTAGAAGTGCTTCCTAACATCTCTCCTTAACAGTCTAACCAGTTTATCTTTATCTATCCTGTCTTTTCCTTTTAAGATCTTGGAAAGTTCGATCAGATCACTCCTTAATTTTCTAAATTCTGGAGAAAACAGCGTAATTTGTATAATCTCCCCTCATAACTTAACCACTGAAGTCCTGGTATCATTCTTGTAATCTATATTGTAATCCCTCCAAGGCCAAAATATCCTTCCCAAGATGTGGTGCCCAGATCTATTCACTGTACTTCAACATGTGGGGTCTAACCAGGGTTTTGTGTGGCTGCAGCATGACATCTGCATCCCTGTACTCCAGTCCTCTAGAAACAAAGGCCAGGATTCGATTAGTCTTCTTGATAAATATAGAACATAGAACAGTACAGCACAGAAATGGGTTCTTCGGCTTACGATGTTGTGCCGAACCTGATGCCAAATTAAACTAATCCCTCCTGCCTGCCCTTGGTCCATATCCCTCCATTCTTTTCATACTCATGCGCTTACCTAAAAGTCCCTTAAACGCCCCTTTCATATTTGCCTCCACCACCATCCCCGGCAGCATGTTCCAGACTCTTAGCACTCTCTGTGTAAAAACTTGCCCCTCACATCTCCTTTGAGCTTTGCCCCTCTCGCCGTAAATGCATGCTCCCTAGTATTAGAGTAATATCTGCACTCATTCTTGACATTTTTAAAATTTATGCACCTGAACCCCAAGTCTCTTTGGATTTAACATAATAAAACAACCCGATCTATCCTTTCTTATTTATTCAACACAAATACTACACTACATAGTGAGAGCTGCTAAATAAATTTGAAAAATGCTGCAGCATTTTACATTTAAAAATGTGAGTATTTCAAATTTCTGGGGAGCACAAGGCATAAATTAAAACAACTACTCAGAAAATCAAGAAAGGGTAAGGTTGAGAAAAGATCTTCGTGAGGTCAAAAAGATAAACACTCCTCCTGGAACCACAAAGATATTACCAACGCTTCCAGTCTCCTTGATCATTATCAAATGCTTCCAGTCTCCCTGACCATGATCACCTCGCCCTTCCGGAGCTGAAGAATTTGTTTGCTTAGTTCCTCTGGTTTGCCCACATACTGTGCCTCTATCTTACTCCTCCAATGTTTCATTTGGTATATATGCTCATCATAACATTATTACAGCAAAATGCAATGAATCCAAAATAAATGGAATACACTGTAAACACTGTGCTATGAATGCTCATCAAGTACAAAATCCATTCTCGTCCTCATATTGGTATTATAAATTTCATACAGTAAATCTGCAGTTGCTGTTTCAGATTAAGCATACCCGCAACATATCCTTCCAGTTGGCCACTGACAGTACGTTAACGTGCCCTTTGCCTGCAGGAACGTTATTCCATGAAAAGCTTAGTTTTCATGCAAAGTGGTAAAACAATATCTACTTCAAAAATAGAAAACCGACATGCGGCTCCCCCTCCCCGCCCCCACCACTGTCACTTTCTCCAGCTGTGGGTAAACAGAAGCTTCGGCACATTGCCAGCCTCCGCCCGGCTGCGGCAGTGCGCCTGCGTTCCCATTCAGCTCTGGAACTTCGTGTTGGTCAGCTCGAGCTCGGAGAAGCAATAACGGCGACGGCAACGGTAGGTACTGGGGATGACGGCAGTGGTAACGGGAGGGGGTAACGGGAGGTACCGGGGCTGTGGGGGCGGGAAAGCAGGCGTGGTAACGGGAGGAAGAAGGGGGAGGGTAACGGCAGGTACCAGGAAGGAGGGGTGCTCGGTGTTGGGTACCGTGAGCAGGGGTGGACCGAGATGAGGGGCACGGGTGGTTGGTTAGAGGGGAAGGCTGTGGTGGCACAGGGAACTAGGAGAGGGATATGAGGAGAGAAGGGGTGGGGAAGAGCAATTGGGGCTTGGAACTAGAATTAAACGGGATGCATGGGGTGTCAGTAGAGAAGAAGGTGGTGGTGGGAGTGAAGAGGGATGTCAAGATTGGTAGGGTAAGGATACCGAGGATGAGGGCGGAGGGAGGGATACCTTGGGAGTGGGTAGTGTGTGGAGGGAAACCTGGGGAGAAGGATAAAGGATGGATACTGGCTGAGAGGCAGAGATAATGGAACCAGGGAAGGTGGAGGGAGTGGGTAGGGGAAGAGGGAGATCCAGTCCAGTGATGATGAGAAATGGAAGTGGAATACAGGAGAACGTATTTGAGAGGAAGAGTGATATTAAGTGGGCGTACAGAGTGGAGAGCCCGATACATAGAGACTGGGAGGGGAAATGGGATATATGGGGATGGGATGGAGTTTTGGGGACTACAGGCCATATCTTTAAGGTGACAGGAGAAAGATTTTAAAAAGACACGAGGGGCAATTTTTTTTTCACACAGAATGATTCGTATGTGGAATGAACTTCTGGAGGAAGTGGTGGATGTGGGTATAGTTACAACATTTAAAAGACGTTTAGATAAGTATATGAATAAGAAATGTTTGGAGTGATATGGGCCAAGCATAGGCAGGTGGGAATAGTTTAGTTTGGAATTATGGTCAGCATGAACTGGTTGGACCAAAGAGTCTGTTTCCATGCTGTATGACTCTATGAATTCCTAGCCTCTGAACTGCTCTTATAACAACAGTATATGTAAGTTCAGTTTCTGGTCAGTGGTAACCCCCAGGTTGGTGGTGATGGGTGCAGGAGGCGGAGAGGTGGTTCACTGATGGTAATACCATTGAACATAAGACCAGTGGTTAGATTCTGTCTTTTGGAGATGATCATTGCCTGCTGCTTTTGTGACGTATATATTACTTGCCAGTTATCAGCCCAACTCTGGATGTTGTTCAAGCTTTGGTACATATTCGCACAGACTGTTTGTTTCATTACCTGAGTAGTTGTGAATGATGCTCATCTTTGCACAATGTTCAGTAAATATCCCTATATCTGACCTTTATAATGGAAGGAACGACATTAATGAATCAGCTGGAAATAGTTGGACACTTGCAGTGATGTCCTGGAACTGAAATGATTGATGTCGAACAGCCACATCCTTTGTGCTAAGTATGACTTCCACTAGTGAGTTTTTCTCCGATTCCCATTGGTTCAAATTTTGCTAGGGCTCCTTGATGCTATACTTTGAATGCATGTTTGATGTCAAGAGTCGTTATGCTTACTTCACCTCTGGATTTCAGCTCTTCTGTACACTTTTTTGGACCAGGGCCGAAATGAAGTCAGGACCAAGTGGCCCTGGTAGAACCCGAACTGAGCATCAGTAGGCAAGTTATTCTTTTGTTTGTGCTGCTTGACAGTGCTATCAACAACTCCTTTAATCACATTGGTTTTCTGGAGTAGACCAATAGGGTGGTAATCTGCTGATTTGGATTTGATCTGCCTGATTGTTTTTGGGACCTATGTATGCAATTTTCCATATAACATTGGCATCCACCCAATAATGCCTGTAATGAAACAGTTTGGCTATTGGCCCATCCAGTTCTGGAGCATGAGTTTTCAGTGCAATTGCTGAAATATTGTTAGGGCACGTAACCTTTGCAGTATCCAGTGTCTTCAGCGGTTTCTTGACATCACATCAATTGGTACCAGTTTGGTATGAATGAACTCAAAATCGTTTAAAAATTACCTCCAAATGTTAATTAGAAATGGCATATTAAAGTTGCAGCCAACCTGCAATTTTGAATAGTCAAATAGAAGAGTGTTTATTTGATCAAACTGGTTTGATACTATAACTGCTTTCTTAACATTCTGAATAACATAATTGTAATACCATTCTTTCTGTATACAAATATACTTGCTATTACAGAAGTGTTTAGATGTGAAAAAATTTGGATTTTGCCTTGGCATTGTATATGATCAAGCCTAACATTCACAGGAAGTGCCGCTTTAATATTTGGAGGCTGTTTATTCTAGTATTTGTAATATGAAAAAGCTAATATGTTTGTTATAGACTGCATGATATCATGTTGGGGAGTAATCAGTATGATTGTTACATACTGAGTAATTGCCCAATGTGAGCAAGGACAATGTGGTTAGTTGTTTTGATGAATTTGTTGCAGATAAAGCCACAGATACAGCTACGGCTAATAAAAATGGAGTATATTTTCTGGATTAAGACAAGGTATTTTGTACTTGATTAATTTGGAGCAAGAGGGGGGAATGGATGCTAGATGAAAAAATTTGTAAATTTTTTAAGTCCTTTAGTTTCATGATATAAATGTTTTTTCTTCTAGAAAAGATCTTTGTTTAATGCATGTGCAGAATTTATAATCTGAGTACAATGTTGTTATTATGTTGTTATAGTACGGAATAGACCCTTGTTGAATACTAGTTTGTGTGCCAACATGAAGTCCCATCACCAAGTTGCTGAGCATTTTTATTCGTTCACAAGATGTGATTGTTGCTGGCTAGGTCAGCATTTATTGTCCATCCCCAATTGTCCTTGAGAAGATAGTAAGCTGTCTTCTTGAATTGTTGCAGTCTGTGGGAGAGTAGGAAAACCTACAGAGTTATTAGGAAAGGATTTTGACCCAGTGACAGTGAAGGAACAGTGCTATAGTTCTAAGTCTGTATAGTTTGTGGCTTGGTTGTGAAATCAAACGCTCAAGGGATTATAAGTCTGACCCATTTTAGGCACAGGAATGTACTGTTGGAACTGAAAAATGCAGTGATAAAGGTCCAAGTAATCATATTCAAAGAGAAAGGAACTGATTTGAGGTGGGGATTTGTCATATAGTAGTCTTGATTTTCCAGGGGCTTCAACATCATAAAGAATGTGAAAAGCCCAAAAAAACCAATAATTAATGCTTTTGATCAAACTCCTCCATAATTTGTTGGAAATTTTGGCAGTCAGATGTTCTTCTCACTGAAGACTGTCAGAAAGCAATTTTCATAGTTCCTTCTATATTAAAGCATACAAAAATTCCAGATATTGGTGGTGGGATTAAGTACTTGTAATGATGTTGAATGAGGAGGTGATGGCCTAGTAGTATTATCGCTGAATTACTAATCCAGAGACCCAAGTAATATTCTACGGATCCAGGTTCAAATCCCACCATAGCCAGCTGTGAATTCAGTATTAAAAAAATCTGAAATTAAGAATCTAATGATGACCATGAAACTGTGCTTGATTGTTGGAAAAAATCTCCTCTGGTTTACTAATGCCCTTGAGGGAAGGGATTTGGCCATCCTTCCCTGGTCTGTCCTATGTGTGAGACCAGATCCACAGTGATAGGGTTGACTCTTAACTAGCCTCTGTGGCAATTAGGGATGGACAGCAAATACTGGCCCAGCCAGCAATGCCCACATCCTGTGAATGAATTAAGAAAAAAAGTCATGAGAGGAAGTAAGATTTTCTGCTGTTGAGTGTAGCCATTGCATGACATTTGTGTGGTGCAAATAGTACTTGTAATTTATCACACCAAGCTTGAATGTTGTCCAAGCCCTGCTATTTGCAAGCTCTGTCTGCTTCATTACCTGAGGGATATGAATGGAAATGAACACCATGCGATTATCAGTGAACATCTCTGATCTGTACTGCCTAGAAGGGTGGGACAAAACATTCGTACGGACACCACTACCTGAAAATTCACTTCTAATTCATGTAGCATCCTGATTTGGAATCATATTGCCATTTCTTCAGTGTCACTTGGCCAAAGTCCTGAAATTCTCTTCCTAACAACATTGTGGGTGCACATACCTGACGTGGTCTTCAGTGGTTCAAGAAGGGTCTTCACTATATTTTCAAGGATAATTAGGGATGGGCATTAAATTTTAGCTTTGTCAGCAACACCCTTGTCTCCCAAAGAGAAATAAAAAAAAATCTGGAATCTAAGCTTTGGAAAATCAAATGCATCAGCAATTTATTTTCCTATTACTTTTAATAGTCTGGTGTTATGTTTTTATATTATTCAAAAAGAGATAGGAATGAATCTTTATGAGAACATATATCCAGGGTGCTACATTTATTGCTGAGGTGAGCAACAACTTGTAAGTCTACCAGTTTTGAGTCTAAAAGCGCCAGAGAAAGTAAATCATGTGAAAAAGAACTAGCTACCATAGCAGCAATGAATTGGGAAGTTGGTGTTGTGGAGGCATGTGAGAAGTTGAAACAAGTGTGCAGATTGACATTTGGTTCCTTTCTAAAAGGCAGTAGTGAAGAGGAAAAGATTAGTACATCCTTTTGTGGTGGTCGAGAAAGGTTTAAAATTCAATGGTGGGAGGTGAATAATGACAACAGTAAAAACCCAGATGCAATTTTTGAACAATCCAACTTAAGTCAAATCTGCAGATCCACTGATAAGAATTTTAAGATCTGAGGCAGGAATCAGCTGAGTTTCACAATTTCATAATTTTGTAAAATGCACACAGAAAGTGTAATATCAAAGAAACTGATGAAAAGCAGATAGATCAATTTGTTTGGGGTTTTGCACAACCTGAAGGACAAGAAGTGATAGCAAGAACTGCAGATGCTGGAGTCAGAGGCAACACAGTGTGGAGCTGGAAGAACACAGCAGGTCAGGCAGCATCAGAGGAACAGGAAAGTCGACGTTTCAGGTCAGGACTCTTCATTAGAACTCATTTCTCAGAACTGAGAAATGACCTCTGAAGGGTCCCGACCCGAAATATTGACTTTCCTG